GGATTGCTCAATATACTAATCAGAAATAACTAATAAAAAAATCGCAACGGCATTTTAGAAATAATAAACCAGTATTATTGGATTGTTAGAATGAAGAAATCACATGAAACGCCTTTTTGCATAGAAATCAGTGACAATTTATTAAGATAATTCAGTTTGTATTCAGAAAAATATCGTAATGAAAAAGTTAAAATTATACGAAAAGAGACTTGACTTTACTAATTTTTTTAGAATTTATTTTTATTTTGTCAATTAATCCGGACTGATCGAAGCCGCACTACGCGAGGCATTACTGTATAAACATATTTAAATTGAGGTAATTTGAAAAGTTGAGATAACCATAAATGTGGATTTCAATTTTGAAAATGTTTATTAATTTTATTTGCTGATTTTTGTTTGTAAATAATATTATTGTTTTCTATAACTTTTTTGACGTTTGACGTTTTGAATGTACACTTACTTTCATAATAATTCCACTGCCCAAAAACATTAGAATGGTGAACGTGATGATAATTATTGTTAATGATACTTTCAAATGTGATTCATATAAACGAGTAATTCCTGGACACAATTAGTTACACTTCGCTAGGTTTTCTTGACTAAATCTTCATTGGTTGACTAACCTTAATTTGCCTAAGTTCAAACCCTTACTACAGCTAAGTATGTTGATACTAGGATTAATTTAAATAAACTATGTATTTAGTACACTAAAATAAAAAATAATCTTTGTTTTACTGTATACAACAAATCTCTTTTTGTGCTAGTTTTAAAGTCCTCGATTAATCCAGTCTCACACAGTGATGAAACCGATTACCCGCACTATGCGAGGTATACCTGTACTCTGTTTAATCGATTTAAAAAACAGTAGTTTTTTTTTAACTGTTTGTATTAATATCAATTAATTTAATTAATTGATCTGTTGTGAATAGATAAACATATAAGAAAAAAGCCTTTCTAATTTTTAATATTTAGAATTTAATCCGAATGTTTATTTTCTATTATATCTTTCTGTTTTCCTTCTTACATTAATTTCTTCTCAATTTCCATAATATTCTTCACTCGTGAAAGTACATTCATTTTACTTTCATCGTAGATTTCAATAGAAATCGACTTTAAAACCTCCTATTAAATTATATCTTTAAACATCAACATATCAATCCTAAAACAATGTCAATTTCCTATTAACTAATAAAGAAAATTTAGCCAATTTATTTTGACTATAAAGTTTTATAAATTTACAAAGAAATAATGATGAGTTTGGAGTGTATATGTGCAGCGATATTAATATAAAATAAAGAATGGAAGCGAATTAAATTCCGATCCGTAAAGGAAGACGTTGCGGTTATTTGGAGAACGTCTGGAAGAAGATCTACACGATCGATCGTTATTTTATATTCGCTCGTTTCATTTTCTGCTACATATTTTTACCTTCTTACCAAAACCGAATAGTTCTCGATTCGCATTCTCAAGATCTACACAGAAGAAAAACTTACCGCATTCCGTTTTTAATATGTTTCTCTCAATTTATCGGAAACAGCATTTAATTGTGTGAACAGAACATTTATTTTTTATTAATGCAATATATGGATACTTGCATAATGTAAAATATACCCAGTGTCTTCAGTTAAGTAGAAACTTTTAAGTTAGATTATAACCTAAATACAGTGGTACCTCGATTAACGAGTTAATTAATTTCCGGATTTTTACTCTAATAGTCAAACATATTCAAAATTACACATAATATGTGTACACATGTTTTAAAAATGATGTAACAGGCGTACAATCTGGGACTTCTCTTCTCATCGTCACTTGTTATGCGAAACGTCGCTCGTTAAGCGAAATGCTCTGTACGTGTTTTTTTATTGTTAGAATGTAAATATTTCGAAATTTCAATAATTACTTACCATCTCAAAATTTTTAAAATGTAAATTAAGAAAAAATAGATGTGGTCAAAATACTATCATAATATGCATCATCTTGAAGAAAACTGGAAAGTTTCACGTATTTAGTTTACATTAATTATTATGTAATAATCAAATAGTTAAAATTTGTTACAATTTAATGATCTAACCTCAGTTCCGTTTCTATAAGCACCTTCATAAAATAAACAAGTATAGAATTGGCATACATTTGCAGCGATTAGATCATATGTTTAGTGAATAATTGTAATTAATATTAGTTCATGTCAATAAATACAATTCCTGTTAATAAATTTTAGTTTATCTCGGACTGTTTAAAACCGGACTAATCGAGGAACTAAATGTATGTGTAAAAGAGACTTGATTGTATATAAAAAAAATCATTTATACTATGCTAATATTTTAGAATTTATATTTATTTTACTGAAATAAAATTTAGTTAATTTTTTTCTCAAGGAATTAAGTTTATTTTAATAATTTATTAGAATTTATTTTGACATTTATTTTGAATAAATCACATAATTTCAAAGTATTTCCTTCGATTTGTTAAATAATTACGAATAAAAAACGAAAAACCAATATAAGATTAACTTCTTTAAATAAATTAAACGTTGTAATAAAAAATCAAATAATGTCTTCCTCGAAACCTTCGTAAAATTTCATTCCTTCAAGTGTTATCGATATCCAATTAGGAATTTACGTTCCAAATTAATTAAATTACGTTCCGTTCTCGTTTGTTTTGGATTAAAGTGGGTGAATGTCAGGCAATGTGTGTGTTTTCTGCTTGGACTTGGCGCGTAGAAAGGATTTAGAAACGTCCAATTTCCATAGAGTTGCAACAGAAGTCGGGCATTTTTGTCGAGTCGACCGAGACAACAAACCTTGTATTTCAGAGTCGATCGATTTATTTCGGATCACCTTTCTGATTTCCTCCGTCTTATTTGGTCATTGCATATCAAATGAAATGCGTATATATTTAGAACAATTCATATGTATCTATTTATTTGTATTCAATAGAAAATAATTATAAATTATAAAATATTTACATAATAGATAGATAATTAATGTATTAACACAGTTGATTATTATATCACTTAAGTGTGAAATGTAAGTTATATCGTTTATGAAATTACATTTAGGATTTCTTAATTTATGAATGCATTTCAATGTAACATATGTTTAAAGCAATTAATAAGTAATATTTTATTATGATGGTGATGAAAATAGATACAGTTTTCTTATTAAAAATATTTTAAAATTGTTTTTAGTACTACAGTAAAATAATATTTCGAAATTATTCTCATGTAGAAATTCTAAAAATAATAGTGAAGATATGTGTTTCAGTAAAATTGAAAGGAAATTATATAAATCGACAAAATTAATTTTATTATACAGTAGAACCTGTATTTGTGTGATCCTTTTTTATGCAATTTTATTTTTGTGCAATTTTTTTATGAAATGCAACCAATTCCAACCGGGTTGGCACCATTCTAATGTTCTCTATCGGTGTGCATATGTACAGCCTGCTCAAACGATTATGTTAGTCGATTTTGAATCAATTCAACACAAGATGATGCGCGTTTTGGATTACCAGTGAATTATGTATGTGCATCGAAAATTTCTCCATATGTACAATGGAAAATTAAACGGTTTGAAATTTTTTCCATGTATAATTTAATTATTTATTCTCAGGGATTTCGTAAATATTTAAAGTAATTTTTTTAAGTGCGATTTTTTTTGTGTGATTTCTTTTATGCGGTATCTATCGCACAAAAAAGGTTTTACTGTACTTAGTTTTTTTAAAGGAAAGTAAATATTTTATGTTCGAGTAAATTTGAGTATAAAATCGCAAACACTAGGGAAGTGTATTGAATTTGATTTTCCTAAACTAACATTTTATAATTTGTATAAAATGTTATTTATAAACTATTTTTTTTATAAATTATGTGCTTTACATTGATGACAAATTTATATTTACAATTTTTATTTTATTTTATTTTAGTGGTATAAAAATCAAAATTATCTTAGTCAAATTTGAAGCAGAAATGTTAAAAGTAACCAATATTTTGTTAATTTAATTTTGTTTGATTTATATACTACATAAATTTTGTTTTAAATAGATATAGTTTGTGTGTAAGAATATTTGTTTTTTGAAATATATTAAATTAAATTAAATTTTAGATATTTAATTGGATTAAAAAAATGGAGAAGATTTCTTATAGAAATAATTAAACTGAAAGAACAAGTAAAGTATTACTATTTTGTTACTGCCATCAAAAAGAATTTTGTAATTGGAGATAAGTATATAATATCAAATGTATTTGAACTTTTAAACTTTTTATTATATATTTTTTCCCTAAGTCCATATATATTTTGATTTCTGATAATTTTATCCTGTTTTCTTCTTATATAAATTATAATATTTCTTGTAACTAAAAATGTTTTGTAAAAATCTTAAAATTAATGTTTGCTGGCTTTAGTTTGGATAATTATTTCTTATTTGGTTATTGTATTTTTTTCGTAATATATATTATTAATGTTATTTCACTATAGACAATTTTTCTAAGAAACAGAATGTGTGTTTTATATTTATTTTGAAATAAATTATTTAATAACTAAATAAAAAATAACGAGTTGAAATTCACTGTTTGCATTATATAGATGACGGAAATAATTTTATAGTTTTCTTGTAAGAAATTGGATGATTGCTTTATTTTTAAATAAATTTACTTTTAGATTTTAAATCAGTTAATAACATTGGCAAAGATGTATATGGCTTTACTTTGAGAGATAAATAAGAAAATCAGTTTTTTTTAAGTATTGGGATTAACGTTCGATGGATGTGGATAATTTGTATAATATCTTATTCGATTATAATATTGAAAAAAGCATTTGGTGTTATATTTTTGTTGTTATATCAATTAAAGTTCATTATGTTTGATTGATGGTGGTGTTGGAAGAAAATACAGTATGTTTCTAAGAAAATGTGTTTTTATTTAAATTAAATACTACTTAAATAAATGGATAACTAATATACATTGGCACATGTGACTGTGAGATCACTTCGAGTGGTACTAACTAAATACAAAAATACTGAGATGGAGAATAATAATTCATGTACAAATCTTAAAAATAATCAACAATTAACAGCGATAACATTCATAATTGAATTGACTTAGTGTATTCGTGTGTTTTTCTCGGTCGTTGCAGATAGACCAACAATTGTTCTGCGCTTACGGGCTCGGCGTTTGCTGATCCAGGAGGTCGTACAGTGCGGAGATGTACGTTTGAGCCATCTGGAGGGTCTCGTACTTGGAGAGTTGTCTGTCCTGTCCCAGTTGCGGAAGGAACGTCCTGAGCCTGTCGAAGGCCTGGTTCAAGTTCTGCATGCGACGGCGTTCACGTGCGTTCGCCGCCAACCTCCTCTTCCTCAACACGATCGGTGTCACCCGGGTCGTGGTCTTCGATCTGTCCGATTGGGACTCGGGGCTGGAGCTTCTGTATTCTTCGTTGTCGTAACCGCTGCTTCCAGTCGAACAGGATGAGCCCCAGCTGTTGGCGGTGGTTTGATGGACCATCGGGGCTCCCATCATGTAAACGTAACCGTAGGATTGCGGGGATTCCATTGCACTGAACTTTTGTTTTTTTTTTGCACAACTTCGACGGGTGGTGATGAACAAAAAGGAAACCTGCTTGCACCGGGGTCTGAGCGGATGTGTCTGATGAGCTACCTGTTGTTCCCTTATAAAGCGCATCCTGCACCCTCGCCCCACCATCGGAGCCCTTAGCGCGTGCCCATCCACCAATAGGATCTGCTCGAAAGAATATCTCCCTCGGACGCACGAATAACAGACAGAGATGCACACAGACGCGGCAAGAAAGGCTCCAAAAAAAGGAAAAAGACGTACGAAGGAACAGCACTTTTATTATTCAAATTACACTCAGACACGAACTCCTCTTTTTTGTGCTGTAGTTGTTGTTACCTGTTGTTCTTCTTCTATTCTTCTCCTCCTTAAAAGCATCCTCATTTAATTTTATACCTCTTTTCCGTTTCAACTGCAATGCGAACTTTTCTGCACAAATCAACCGCAACTGTTTCAAAATTCACTCTAATTGCGGTATGCAACTGAAAACCTAGCGACAAATTTGTACTTCAAAATGTTACCATTTTTAAGATCATTTACATCTATGCAAAATTCATATTCGTTTTGCTGTTCTTGTTAATAATACGAGTCATTTGTTTGTAAGTTCATCAATACCTCAAATCGATTCAATCAGTGCGGATTCACTATAGTAAGGTTTGAAAATTTCGAAACAAACTAAATTTTGAGATCATTTACTTCTTGCAAAATTCTCATCCATTTTTGCTGTTAATGAACATTACATAACAAACTTCTATTTACTAGTAAGTATAAAGTACAACTTATAAATTTTTTTTAATCTATATATGCAATTAAAAACTAAAATGATAAGAAAAGATTTCAATAAAACTGTATTATTCTCTTCTTTAAGAGAAAACTTCTTTAAATTGTATACCTCCTTTTAGTTTCAACTCTAATTCGAACTTTTCTACTCAAAACAACCGTAACCTTTTCCAAATTTACTATAATTGTAGTATGCAACTGAAAACTTAGCGACAAATTTGTACTTCAAAATGTTACCATTTTTGAGATCATATAAAACATTTCTTTCTAAGTACATCAATACCTTGCATGTTGTGGATTCAATCAGTGCGGATTCACTATAGTACGGTGAGAAAATTTTAAAACAAACTAAATTATAATTGAGAAAAATAAACATAAATTTGGTCAAGTCTCTTTTTGTGTAATTTAGTTTTGCGATTAGTGGATTAGATTTTAAAATTGCTGTATTAAGTACAACTTATAAGTTTTGATATTTTTACAGTTTAAAATTTGTTTAAACAGTTTACATATAAATTAACAACTAAAATTATAAAAAAAAATATTTTCCTAATTAACTTTTCTGCATAAATCAACCTGATACCAATTCCATTCTAATTGCGGTATACAACAAGAAAAAAGGTTATAATTGATATCAATTTATATATTGAAATATAAGTTAATACCAAAATTAACAATAAAAATTCAATAATTACAAAAAAAAATCCTTCTGTATTTTGCCTACCTGTTCTATTTTTATACCTTTTTCCGTTTCAACTCCAATGCGACTTTTTGTATACAAATCAACCGAAACCATTTAAAAATCCCTTGTAATTGCGGTATGCAACCCAAAAATGTATCTTTAGTATTAAGAAATTCAGAACGGTAAAATTTCATAAATTTAAATAGTACGGGTACCTCAAATAGTGCGGGTAATTTATAATATCCCCCACTATTTGGAACCGTACTAATCGAGGATGTTAATCCTATTAACTATTATATTATGAGAATATATATGTAAATTTAGTTGAAAGTAAAAATATGAATGTAAAATGCATTCGGTATTCGTGCTTATCCAAAAGTATTCAACAAGCGAAAACCCATTGGAATGTTCGTTCTTGTGTAAAAAAAGCAATCACGAATTTGTAATTAAATTAAGTTTATTTTTTGTAATAAACAAACTTCTACTAGAAATTTCAATATAATTATAAAGTACTCTAGCTAATCTAAAACATAATATAATACAAAAAATAATTAAAAATGATTAACAAAGAAAATCATATTTCTCTTTTATGTATTGTGAGACGAACAATAGTAATAACAAATTACAAGTTCTAGATATAATTATATTTCGGTTCGCAAACAATTCACTTTTCGAACACAAAAATAGTACAAAAGCATTTTCTTTTCCAAAGCCTCGGTTTTCGAACAGAATATTAGTTTAGTAATTGATTAACAGCAACAGCTGAATCAATATGACGTAAATAAATTCATAGATTTAGTACAACCTATATAGGACAAGTATCTGTAGATTACTTGATAAGTTACGCGTAATATTTACATAAATAATTCTTTCATAAGTTACTTTACAAATATTTTAAATGAAATTTGTGATTTTCATATACAGTGGAACCTCGCCTAACTTTTCAAAATTTCCAGATTTTTACTCGTGTAGTGAAACAATTTTCCCCATATAAACTTATGTAATTACGATAATACTTTGCATTTTGTTAGTCATTTTTCTTACAATTTATTTTGCTCATTATGCGAGATGCTTGTTAAGCGAAGTTCCACTGTATAATATTTATTTTTAGCTTCTAAATAATAATGATGTTTTCAGAAATTTCAATTAAATATACTACAGCAATACCTCACATAGTAAGGTTTCAATCAGTCCGGATTCTTTATTGAAAATTCCAAAATAAACTAATTTTTAAGCAATCAAGTCTTTTCTGGTGTAAATTAGTACCTTCATTAGTCCGATTTCAAGCAATCCGGTGTATTGATGTAACAAAACAGTGATATAACAGAATAGTACTAAAACAGAGCAGCATAAAAACAGAATAGTTAATATTTTGTTGCGTTGTCCTATTTTAGTAAAATTGTCTTTTACTTTTCACTGTTTTTTCGCTATTCTGTTATGTCACTGTTTTGTTTTATCCTATTCTCTTCTATCATGTTCTGTTTTAGCCTGTCCTGATATGTCATGTTCTGTGTTGGTGAGTTCTGTTTGGTTGGTCATGGAACCATTTTTGTTAACCATAAATATTTAATCAAAATGTCATTTAGTTTAGAAACCTTCGACCTAATTCATATACTTATTTATATTTTATACTTATTCGAACCTTGATTCTTTCATTATTTTTCAATATAAATTATTCATACATGTACATATGAACGTTTGATATAAATATTTAAAACTAAATTTAAAATTGAACTAGTATTAATATGTAAATTTTATTATGTTTGCCAATAAATAGTGAACTAGTGTATAAGTATAATTAATTAATGAAATGCGTAAGTTGTAAGAAAAAAAAAAAACTAAAGTGTATGGAAATATCGACTGACTTACCTCGATTTTGTTGACTTAAACTAAGTAAATTTGTATTTTTTTTATTTAAATTTAACAAAAATTAAAATTCGAGGTAGATACCCAAATTAGAGTTGTATAAATAAAAGAAAGTAGTAAAATATTTTAGAAATTAAAACAAAAAATTTTAAAAATATTTTTTATTTTAATTAATGAAGAAATAATAAAATGATAAAAATGTATGAAATTATTGACTAAGTTTATCTTAAAAATAAAACGAATTTAAATTAATTCAATCTCATTTATGGAAATAATGATTAATTGAAAACATTTAGTTTTTTTTTGGAAAAGATTATTTTAATGCAAAATAAATATGTTAATCACATCATTAAAGAATTTAACTACAAATGTTTGCGTTGGTTTTTATTAAAATTGTTGTCGCGGACCAAAAAGTTTGAGACCCACTGTTCTAAACTATAATTACTGTTATACAAATAGCATTGAATAGGAAACAAATTTATGAATCAAATATAAAAGTACACTTTTTAACTTACTTTTCCTTTTATACGTAACCCAGCTTATGGACGTTGTTATTAAAAAATAAACTCGTAATTTCACGGACTTTTGGATCGCAAGAATTCAGCGAAGTGAAATGTAGCGAACACAGCAAATTATGAATGAGCCATACATTTTTTATAATTGCACATTTTTTTTGCAATATAATTTATTGCATACTTTAGTAAAAAAATGTGTATAAAAATTAGAATATAAAACAAATTCTAGGTGAAAAATGAAACATTTTGTATACAAATATTCAAAATTTGTAACTGATTATGTAATAAATATAAACGTTATTGTTACATTATTTAATGTGTGATTTTCATTGAGGATTTTTAAAATTGTTACAAATTTTCTAGACGTGTTTTAATTATATTTTTTCAAATATAATACCTCGCATAGTGCGGATAATTGGTTCCACCAATATTCCGAACAAATCGAGCACTTTAAAAATAAACAGCACAAAAAGAGACTTGACTATATAGAGTATAAAAGAAACGATGATTTATTTATAAAAAATATTTTTTTAGAATTTATTTTTGCTCAATTAAAATTGATTATATTTCGAAATTTTTAAACCGTACTATACTGAATCTGAACTAATCATGTTTTAATTTTACTTTTTTTTGCAATTTAATTGCTTACCAAGTTATGATATATGTATCTAAAAAACTGGTCGAAAAATTTAAAAAAATTGTGCATATTTCAAAATTTGTAACTTATGCAGTTATGTGATTATGTAATAAATATGCAAATAAATGTTACAATATATTATGTAAGAAATATACAAATTAATGCTACAATATGATATGTATTGTTTTCATTGAGTATTTCTAAAATTAATACAAATTTTGAAAATTTCAATTTCAGTCTATAATTACGTAACTCACAAGGTTTAATTTCTTATTCGACTCTTCAGGGCTATCGACCTGAGTCGATTCCATCCATTTTTGGAGCTCGTTTCTAACCACCATGTGCGATATTCAGCGCGGTTCAAGATTATTAGATAATCTGGGTCGCCGTTCGAAATGATTAAGAACCACTGCTCTAGTTTGAACGGAGGCGGATTTCTTGCATTAAAGTGTTTCGCATACGCAACACTAATTCGGAGTAAATGTTACAATTACTTTTATTGTTTGCTCAAATTACTTAAGATCAAATAACCTTGTGCAATTATACATATTTTGCTTTTGTTTTTTTTATAGCATTTTTTCTCTCTAAAAAGTATGACCGATATTTTTTTGTTATTTTCAGGTAATTCCATTTTAAGAATCGATTATTATTATTAACACTATTAATATTGAGTTCAGTTTAAGCCCACGAGTTTGCAATAAAAGTGAAATGTTACAAAATTTTAACTAATTTCCATACAATTTAAGTAACTTTGAATTCGATAAACATGAAATAATAAAATTAGTAATGTCGATTGCAACAACTTTGAATAATTGTTCAGAAATTGATTTTAGTGTTTTCTTTGTTTGTTTCATAACTAGAAAGCACAAATATTATTGTAATTAAATTATTTCGAACAATAATTTTCCTATAAAGTTCACACTTTGTGAAATATTGAACGTTTTAACTTTAACATTCTCGGATTTTCGAATATATTTAAGTTTCTTTTTAATGTAAATGCAAGAGAAAATCTTTTTTCCGTGTTTCGTATAGGCGTTTTTCTTTTTCTTGTTAGGTGGAAAACTTATGTTTGTTTTGTTGGTGGACATGACACTGTTAAATAAGGAAGTAAAGAGAATATTTTGCATTCGAGATCCGATTGTAAATTAGAAAAATATGGTAATTTATTCCGAACGCAATGCCTGCATCGAATACTTATTTCGTTTTCCATGACTCCGCAAAAGCAAAAAGTGAATGTGTCCTAAAGTTATTCGAAATGTGACTGAAACAATCTCCAATAAATTAATTTTCTGTATATGTATTTAACTATGTTAATTATTACAAATTTGATTAGTATATGCGTTTTTTCATTAATTATCTTAATAGTTTACACTTTATATTCTTTCGTCTAATTGCGACACAAAATTAATTGATATGTAAATGCATCAAATAGTGCGGCTTGGATCAGTGATATAGTTTCGTTTGAAAATTTCGAAACAAACTAAATTTTGATTGCAAAAAAATAAAAATAAATAATACATATATGATCGTTATTTTTTTCCTTTAAAGTCCACGATTAGTCCTGTTTAAAACAGTGCCTGACCCAATTACCCGCACTATTCGAGGTATTGCTGAATTTGCATCATTTCCAATATTTCATGTAATTAACGTTTTTTACTTCAATTTCTATTTTTTTTTTTCAAAAATACAATATTCAATTTATTATATTTTCTTACACCACTTTCATATATATTTATTTAAATTTCTTTGATGACATAAAAAATATTTTAATGTTTGTTTATATTTAATTAAAAAAAGAAGAAATATTTTACTAATTGAAAAGTTAGTTATTTTATAAGTAATAATTGAATACAAATATATGAATAATTCAGTAATAAATTTTAAAAAATGTGTTTCTAATGAAATTTATTTTGTTTATAATAATTAATATTTTTTTTAATTTATTGTATTTGACTTTTGTTATTATTATTATCGTGATTTAGTTTAATAAAAAACTGTACTTTTTAAGAGATTTTCTCTCATAATTGGAGATCTTCTACATTATTAAAACAATTTAATATTTTATTTCAGAAATATGAATAATATGAGATTTTGATATGTTAACTACAAAGTGTGTAAACAAATGAACGAAGCAATTATTTCTTTTATAAGAAACATGTAGAATAAAAAAACACCTCTTCCTTTTCGATGTAGGAATCCGTTCATTAGCTTGTGTTTCAACAGGAATGATATTTGGAATCAAAATCCTAAGATTTCTGGAAATCTTTTGGTTTCACATTTCATCATGCATATATGGTTCACCTCTTTCTCAATGATGAGGATTCATTTATAACTCTATTGTTGACAGAATTGATATTTAATATACAATAAATTAAGTCAGCTTTAGTCTCATTATGGAAATGTATGATATCAAGCATTTTGTTTAAATAATAAATTACATAATAAATTTGCTCTAAATAAGTTGGTATGCAATAAATATGATTTATTTGATATTTTTTGTTGTAGTAAAAGTTTGAATGGAAAACTGGAAAATCTAGTCTAGTAAAAGGTTTTATTAGGTTTCATATTATATAATCCAAACAGCGATTTGATAAAATGTCAATAATGATTTGTGTTCTCTCAAAGTTTGGATAATTATTCTTGATATATTATTATATAAGACGTTAAATATATTTGAATGTAACATGTATTTATGAGTTCAAATTATATAAGAAAACTTTTGTTAATAATATTTGGATCAAATAACAGTAAAAGTTTTATTTGTTAATTCTTTGTATATCTTTTATAAAATTAAGACAGAAACTTGTTTTTCTTTTAAGAGTTAACAAAATATTGTTTCTTTCTTTTTATTTTGCTTACATAATTGCATTAAACTTTTAAATAAACATTATAATCTAATTAATTAGTTTATCTTATAAATATTTACAAACTAAATATGAATTTGATAGCAATAACTAATATTTTTATAATTTCTAATAACTTTTAATAATGAAGTGAAAGTTTAACTTACTGTATAAATCCAATTAGTACGATAATCTAATTTGTTCAATATATTTGTATTATACGCACTTAATATAAAAACATCCATAATTCTCGAACGAAGCGCAACTACGCGTTGTTCGACTCAATTAGATTGTAATTTCTTGATTGTGAAGCATGGGAAGGGAATATTTCTCATAGAAGTAACTCGAATCGTCAATTTGTCGTAACTTTGGGTAGGGGTTGATAATGACTCCAATAAGTAGGTTAATTAATAATTTTGGAACCGAAGTTGCCTAATCTTGCAAACTAACAAAATTCTGTCTCATTAGCACCTAAAAAAAAGTGCACAATAAAAAAAGAATGAATGGAAGTTCTTGCAACGAAACCCCGTGGCAAAGACCTCCAATTTACAAGGTTCGTTGCCTAAGTCAAATAATTCGCGCGAATGAAAAATAATAAATTAAATTAAACGATCAATTAGTGTCGATCTTCGGCAAACATCCGTTTCCTGTTGACCAATGTTGAGGTAAAATGGATTTCGTCTCGTAAATAAAATTGACCACCAATGGATACGTCGTTTCTAGAATGAGCGTACATAAATCGGTAAAGGCGGTTACGCAAGTTCCCGATTAAATTAAGCGTTCGGCAATGAAGGGGAAACAAAAGTGAATAAGCGAACGAAACGAGACGTCGGTCGAGTGCTCGAGTTCTTGGAGAATTGCGCTTACCGGATTTCGTGTCTAAGGTTAAATAAACTGGAACATGAAAAATCGAATTTCGTTGGAATGCGGAATGTTAAGTCATCCCCGTCGAGGACGTATTCCGCATTATTAGTAATACTATTATTTAGTTTAGTTTAATCATGTAAAAATTATTTCTGTTTTTTTTTTAATTCAATAATTTACAGATTTTAAATTTGCAAACAAAATATGATTCACATCAAATTAGTTTCATGTATTTGTTAGTCAAATGTTAGTATCAACTTTGTCAAGTGTCATTTTTTTGACAAATGTCATTTATATATCAAATGTCAAAATTATGTTTATATTGACAATTATAGTACAGTTTAATATGATATTAACTTTTGTCAAGATATTAATCATTAACTATAGAAAACTAAAATGCTTTGTTTATGTTACAAATATTAGAATTTTATAGAAATGTTTTCACAATTACAGAATAATGTTTATATAAAACATAATAAAATATTAAAAAAAATAATTTTGTGTTACCAAATTTGATTTTTTTCTTCTATTATTGTTCAGTCTTGTGATTGTTCTCTTTGTGTAATATTGCAAAATGTCAAATGTTGGTTTCAACCTCGTCAATTATCATTTTTGACATATGTGATTTATATGTCAAATGTCAAAATTACGTCGATATTATATTAATGTGTTCAAAAAGTCTATTGTAGTTTCTTGAAATATTATTATAATACCTTCAATAATTAATCATATATATTATTTTATAAAAAGTTTGTAACTGTAATTTTATATGTTAAAAGATTTATTTCTAAAATTATTTTGTTTCACCAATTGACTTTGAAAATTCTGCACCTGATTTAGTTTTGTATAAAAATACCGAGAAGAAGTATTAGATTTCCCGTCCTTGCACTTGGCGAAGAGTAACATGTACGTAACATGATGATTCGTCCGGAATGACTTTTACTCTCCTCTGCATAATGTGTTTATATTGTTTACATTTTCATTTAATTTATAGTTTCAACTACAGGATCTATTTTTACAGTTGGCAAATATTTTTTTGAATGTACTTTTACTTTTCGCATTGTTTATTTTTTTTTAACAAATTTATTAAGTTTTTACTCATTAATATTGTCGAAAATTTATGGTTTCAATCGTAGGAGGCGTTGATTTATTAATGTTTTAAAAGAAGGTTAGTAATGTCAAGGTTTTTATTTTTTTGGTGAAAATTGTTATATATGTTTTCTTATGTTGCTTATTTGATTGATGCTATTGATTAGGCAGTATTGGAAATTAAAGTTATTGAAATTTACAAAAAAAAAATGCGGTGCTCTAATTGTCGCATCCGCTAATTGCGATTTGTTTCGTGTAGTTTGAGTACGTAGATTTGGAGTGTGCGTTTCGGATTTCTTGTTAAAATGAAAGTGGTTGAAGGCATTGCACAATGTAATCTATGTAGAGTCGTTTGACTTAGTCATGCGACTGTCTTTCTCCGACCAATTGGCGAGTGGTGTGTGTGGTTCGGTTGAAGGCCTCAACACGGGCGTGAAGAAAACTCTGGTTGCGCTAAATTTTATTGCATATTTAAGAAAATTCTATATAAGAAGTGGAGGGACTTGCAGAAATCCAGTCGCGGTCTTACATTCCGACGAGCAGCAACTACAGCTAAACAACAATGTTCAAACTATTGGTTGGGGATTCTTGTGCTTCACGTGCGATCAATAAGACTAATATTTTTACTCTCTTTTTTTTCTAGTGCGTCGCTCTTTTGCCATTGGCTTTAGCTAGTGCCGAGTATTTGTACGGTGATGTAAGTGATGGGTACACTTACAATACTGCTTACGCTTCGGCCTACGACAACTACGTGAGTTTTGTTTGACTCAGTTTACCTTTCGTTCTGGGTAAATCATTGTGTTGTGTTGTTTCAGAAACCGAGGGATTACAAGGTTGAATACGGTGTCTCCGATCCGCACACCGGTGACCACAAGTCTCAATGGGAGGTGAAGGAGAACGGAGTCGTGCGCGGAGCTTACAGTCTTCTGGAAGCTGATGGTACCACCAGAATTGTCGAATACTACGCTGATGATACCGGCTTCCATGCTGACGTTAAGAAGATCGGTACCGCCGTGCACGCTCAACAGGAACACCAAATCCAGCTCGCTCCAATCGTGAAGAACCAGATCATCGACAGCATCGCCTACAACGGATACGGACACGGAGGTTTGGAGCACGGGTATGGAGCACCAATTGAAACCATCCACCACGAGGCTTTACCTGTAGCCAAGGAGGTGGTCGTCGAGGCCCCAGTGCAGAAGATCGAACAGATCATCGAGCCTCAATTGGAGCAGGTCTTGCACCAAGAAGCCCCATTGAGCGTTGAGAAGTTCGCCCCGATCGCCCCAGCTCAATACATCAAGGAGATCGCCCCGCAATCCTTCAACCCCATCTACGAGCAGATCGCCAAGTACGCTCCAGTCCCACAATTCTACGAACCCAAGATTGAGTCATACTACCCAGCCCCAGCCGCCAAGGTCCTCTCCTACCCACAACAAGCCTACTACCAAACTCCAGTTGCCAACTACGAAGCTTACCCAGTGCACACCAAGGTCGAAGAAGCCTACTACCCACAATCACCAATCCAACAATACTACCAAGCCCCGATCGCTAAGGTAGCCCCAGTTGCCAAAGTACTCGTCCCCGAAGTCCATGTCTCCAAAGTGCAAGCTTACGCTCCATACCAAGAACAAGCCAAGGTAGCTGCCTTCCCAGTATCTCACAGCCAAATCCCATACTACGAACAAGCTAAGGTAGCCCTCCCAGCCATCCAAGTGTCCAAGGTCCAAGCTTACGCCCCATACTACGAGCAAGCTAAATTTGAAGTTATCCCAGTCTCCCACAGCCAACCACAATACTACGAACAAGCTAAGGTCGTAGCCCAGAACCAGGCCCAATACTACGAACAACCCAAACTCCAAGCGTACTACCTTCCCCAAGTAGCCAAGGTGGAGAAGCCCATCTACTACGAGCAGCAGCCACAACAGCAGCACCTCGTCAAATCCGAAATCCCACAATCGTTCATCCTCGGTGAACTGGCCAAGATCGCCCCACACATCGAGCCCAAATACAAGGATGCCGTCACCTACGCTCAACCCGCCTACCATTCCTACCACCCCGAGTATTAATTTAATTCCAAACTACCCCTTTTCTCTTATTTCCTGCCCCGCGAGTTGAGACATCAAGAAGTGTCCGGCTCGCACCTAACACTAGTAATTATAAAAAAAACACAGGGACGAAAGTATCAGTTAAAGTTAGAAAACGCGCGGCAGGAGATTAGAAAAAAAAATAATAATGAAGGCACGAAAGAAATAGAAACCCACCAATTTGATTCCGTTTAATTGCTACGTATCCGTCTGCATTGCATCCGATGCAAGAGGATGATCGTTGGGGAAACTTTCCAAACGCTCGCGTCTCTTCCATCTCTTTCTGTGTGTGCGCGCGTGTGGAAACTCCTGCCATTATTACACTTCTCAATACAACTTACGCAAGAGGAAACGATGTGCGCTCGTACGACTGTGTGTTATATTTTTTACTTTTGTATTTTTATTTATATTTAAAAAAATATATATTACTAAGAAAAATTAAAAAAATATTTTATTTTCTACTCCCCCACAGCTCACAAATTCCCGTATAATTACAGTATTTATTACTATACTTTATTAAAAACATATCATTTCCAAGCATTCACCATAAAGAGAGTATAACTTATATAATACAAATTTAGTTGAAATTCATACAATATAAAATAGCTCAAAAAATATGGTAAAGAATACCAATACGAAATATTTAGTTGAATGATCCATTTGCAAGATATTTGAAGTTTTCTTATTTCAAAATCAGAATTAATGTTTATATGTAAAGAAATTTCAAGGTTAGGTACTTATAAACTTATTACAAGTAAAGTAATAATAGATCTTGGAAATCGTTGTACTGAATCTAAGCATTTAACGTACGTTCGAAAGTACCTACTTGATTATTTACAGTCTTCTAACCGAATTAATTTGAATCAATTAAAGATCTCATAAAGCGTTGTATTATACGTAAACAATTCTAAAGACAATACAATTAATTGATATAACTTACATTCAAAACTACGTACTTGATTATTTCTGATACTGTCTTCTGATTAAACTATTTTGATACACTGAAAGATCTTTGAAAAAGTTGTACTAAATGTAACTTAGTCAAAGGCAGTAGAACTAATTCATTTAACGTACGTTCAAAAATACGTACTTTATTATTTAAATCTTCTAAACGAACCAATTTGAAGTAATAAAAGTTATTGGAAAGCGTTGTACTAAAATTAAACAAAATAACGTACTTTCGAAAATACGTACTTGATTATTTATAGTTTTCTAACCAAACTAATCTGAATCAATACACTTCTTAGAAAGCAATGTACTAAATTGAAGCAACTCAAAGGACCGTACAATTAATTAATTTAACGTACATTCAGAAGTACGTACTCCATTAGTTAGTGTCTTCGGATAGATCCCAATTTGAACCAATAAATGACCGCGTTTCTATTAAATGTAAGTAACTGAAGGGACAGTACAATTAATTCAATTAACGTACGTTCGAAAATACGTACTTGATTATTTACAATGCTCTGATCGAAATAATTTAATGCAATGAATAATTTTGTAAAAAGTTGTACTTAATGTAAGCAACTCAAAGAATAGTACAATTAATTCATTTAGTATAATGTACTTTCGAAAATACGGACTTGATTAGTTATAGTATATTAAATAAACTTATTTCAAGCATTGAATGTCTTGAAAAAATATTGTACGAAATGTAAGTATCTCGAAGAATAGTGCTACTAATTCATTTAACGTACATCCATTTAACGAATGTTCGAAAATGCGAAAATATCAGTTTCAACGTAATAATGCCAATCAGACCAATGGGAGGTTGTGTTTTAATTTAGATTATTTGTATTTTGGTGATTTCTGGAATTGTTTGAATATTGACATATTTGACAATATTGATTATTTGACATATTCAAAATTACACATAATATGTGTACACAAGTTTTACAAATGCTGTAGCAGGCTCGCAATCTGAGACATCTCTTCTCATCGTCACTCGTTATGCGAAACGTTGCTCGTTAAGCGAGTCATTTTTCTTACAATTAATTTTGCTCGTTAAGAGAAATGCTCGTTATGCGAGGTGCTCGTTAAACGAGTATATGCATATGATGTCAAAGTTAGCAAGTGTACTTTCGTATGAACATTGAGTACGTTTATGCGAACTAAAGATAATCAACTAATGCTCATTTTGTTAGTGTATTTATAACAAAATATTTGTGTTAATTCCCATCTGTTCTTGTTGATGTATCTGTGAAATAATCTGCAGATTTTAAGCAATTAAACAGTAACCGTACAGATCTAATATAGAGCATCGTTCGAATGCAATAAAGTAAGTCCTTAATTACCGATGGGGCCCTAATTAAGGGCGCAGTGGGTGGGCGCCGTTCAGTTCCGCACAATGAGGTCACGCCCTGGCCATTTTTTTTGTTGCAGTTTTGTTTTGTGCTGTTTGGTAGAGGGATGGGATGAAAAATGGATGATTGATGGGGAAAAATTAACCGACGTCGTTTCTGCGATCCGGCTTCTGGAAGAAAAGCCATTAAATAATTTACGATCTGCCCACACGAAACGAGTGATTCCATCCGATCAAGCTAATCAAGAGCGTTTTTCCCATCTCGTTTGTCCGTTTTTCCCTTTTACTTAATTTATATATATATATTTTTGCGCCGGGGCGGAACGATGCGGTCCATCCGCAGACCACCGCGGCTGGAACCGCCCCCCTCGTGCCCAAACGCAAACACACACATAAATTGAGACCTTAAGTTATTACGTAATATCCATTTCCACGTGAATTTATCTGTATTTATATAAGGGAATAAGTATATGTGGGTTAATGGGGTGGACCGTTTAAAAGTCGCTTTTCGGCATGGAAAGGGGTTGATTATTAAATGTAAATTTCTTCTTTTTTTTTGGTGATGTTTACATTAGGTGATCGGCGTTTGCCGCCCTTTCTGCTAACCCGAACATCTTTTATTCATCGATGGAAGGAATAGGTGAAACGATGACCTACCTATTGTTCCCATGCGAGAAGACTTAAGAAGATGTAATTTCTCTAAATGTCAAATTATAATTTTCTTTCCGTACTCAATCTTCTCTTCTGGCCTCAAACTGAAAGTTAATTTACTTTTAATTTTTATGCTTTTTAACTAAAACACATAAAAACAAACAGTTTTTTGTATTCGTCTGTAGGTTTTTCATCTAATAAAAAGGATCCAATAAAAAATTTAAAATCAGTCTATTGAAATTATCATAATTAAATTAAATTTGAATTTGTATACTTTTCATAACGCAAACGTATAAAAAATATCACAATTATAATATTTTTTTTTACATTTATAATTACGTTTATAATATCTAGAAGCGAAAGTGGAAATTGAAAGAAAAATCTAGAAAGCAAAGTGCATAAAAATTCAATCATTATTTTCAAGTTTGTAGTAACGAAATTTAGATGGATGAAAATTATAGTTGTCAAATTGTGTTCTCCAATATATCTTAACGGTTTATGTAAGCAAGCTTAAAAAACGTTCGTCGATAGTTGTTTTTGATATTTCTGCTCAATCACATATCGTGTAGACACGCAATATTCTTGATTTCATCATTATTTCTAGCAGAACTTTAAGGCTGAAATCATCAGCTCAAAATTTATAAAATTATGTTCGTAAAGTTCATTTAGCTAAAGCAACTTCTCCGTAAGCAGAATATATCTTAGTTATTGCTGGAATTTTTGGCTTCTTCATTAACAGAAAAGTATCTAAGTGTTCTTCACTAATGTGTCAATTTCATTTAATCCAAATTAAATTTTATTGTAAAGACGGTGGAAATTTTACTTTTAAGATGATATAGAATATATTATTTATTAGAATTCATTATTTTCTCAATTCTGATATATTTAGGTACTTAGCGAAAGTCGGCACAAACTTTTTGAACAACCCGATAATTCTACAATATTCAGTTGTTAAACATTGGATTTTGGTATAAAATGCAAAAAAAACTAGTTTTAAGCTTCTACACTGTTTTATTACTATAACTCCTATTTTTGCTAATTTTTCAATTATAATCCATTTTTTCACCTCCAGCCAATGATAAAAGAATTTTTTTTATAAACATAAACGACTTATTAATAATTCATATGTACCTTTTCTTTTTTTAAATAAGAGTCTTCAAATTAGGAAACTCTGCATTTCAACACTGAATGTTTCGACCGGAACACGTGTTTTTTTACTCTATTAAATATAATACTCGGCGGTCAAAATGTAACCTTATATGACTTAAATATAGAAAACTTCCGCTCGTCCGTGCGTTTTACTAAGGTTACAAACTTAATTTTGTGGTGTATGTTTTTTTTTTGTAAAAGAGGTTCATTAATCATGCAAAATGCAAATACCACTAAAACGGAAACATCTTTTTTTCACAAATTACGTAAGAATATACGATTTTATAAAATATATTTTTTTTATGTCATATAATTTTATTCAGAATCTGTTCATCAATGAGAACATTGAGTAAATTTAAAATCACGGTTGACATTAAATGGATAATCTTTCCCGTTGGATTCAGTAGTATATTGATGCTCTGCGATTTCATTATTTCCTTTAACTGTAAATCTGCTGCTATCCTTAACACTGTCATTGTCCATCGACTTGGCTGAAGTTCCATATGTCGAACCTCATTCATTTGACTGTCCATCTGTGATGAACGATGGCCCTATTGCTGCAAGCACCGAGAGGTCTCACAAAGGGCCTGGCTTGTACAGGATTCGAACCGGCGCTCAAGAAATTGTGGGTAGAGCGACTTAGTCACTCTTTATAGAATGTAACATAATTTATCTTCATCCTCTTATAATTTTGTACTTTTAAAGGATTAATACTGTTTAATTTACAGAATTCCAATTTTACTAATTAGTTTAACTAATTATATACCAATTTTTTCATTAATAATTGTTAATTATGTCTTGAATATGTTTTTAAAATAAATATAAAGAGAAATACACAAATTTTGATAATTTGTTCAAAAATGTATGTGCAGATACAAACAAAATAGGATGAAAGGCATCATATTATTATTGCATATATGTAAATGTTGTTTTTTCTGTAATTAGTTTTCATGACATTTAACGGCTACATAAGATGTAATTAAATTCTGTGTTTTTTCAACATATAACAATATATTACAAAACTCTATGCGTTTTTTATATAAAATATTTTAGTTTAAAATTTTCAATAATTTAATTATATAAAATTGCTATCATTTTCATATAAATATTACCATTCTTCAATTATAAATATCATGGAAGTTGTATTTAAATAAGTATGAATACTAAAAATATGCTAATTTCAGCAATTTTTCACCTTAAAACGAGATACCTGTCCTCCATTCAAACTCAAGCAACGTAGTTCCAAAGCAAAGTAGT